AGGTGCTGTGTTGGCACAAAACCCCTTACCAGGGTATCTTGCTGGCATTGTCAGCTGAGGGCAACTCCTGGTGATCCTTTGACATAGGTATGAAGAGAACAGCATTAGAGCAGTAGTCCCAGACCAAGCAATGAAACTGTATTTGACCCTCATCTAATTTACAACTAAAAAACAAACAAACTAAAACTATATCCGGGAACAACAGCTGCACTTGAAGTCACCCCCTAGTTAAGTTTACAACACACTGTCATTCTCCGAGATCTGTTTGTTTGGTTTTTGCATAGTCTCATAGGAGAACTGAATGGAGATGTGGTGGGGATCACCAGTCTTGTATCCTTCCAGTCTGTCGTAGTGGCAGTAATCTGTACAATATCTGCAGGAATATGGTATTGCTTTTCGATGACCATTTTCCCAGGTAAGAGTAGTTCTAATGGCTTCCACATGGCCTTTTCTACCTTAATAGCTCTGATGCCACATGCCAGGGATCCAGTGTGGGGTTCTGCCAGGTGCTGAGTAAGTCTATTCCAGTTGTGTATTCTGGAATCGGGGAAATCACTACAGGATGGTTTTTGGACCCACTGTGAGACAGATTGAGCTAAGGTTTTATTAATAGCCTGACCTTTGTATATACCTACTCTGGGTTACAGTGATGTTTTGGGTCTCTTGAATGAGTGTCAATTCAGAGTTAATGCCCAATAATCATGAGCAGACGATTTCATTTTCTCCAGTGCAGAGTCACTCACCAAAGACTGTAGATCCTTTGGGGAAGTTGCAAGAATGATAACCAATTGAACATTTTGGCATTGTCGTGGGGGCTTTCCTGAAGGGGCCCAGCCTCTTCTTCACTCAGGAGGTTGTGGGTCAGTGAATTGGCTCAAATCCGGGAATTGATCGAGGGGCTGTGACTGTTCTGGTGATTTGAGTTATACTAGCGTTCACTTGACCCAGACTTTTTTTTGGTTGACATTTTTTGTTGTTTTAATCCTTACAAGTTAAGAATATCAGCTAATAATTCACATATTTGGTCCCCAATAAGCAAAGGATGAAGTACACAAGAGCAACAATAACTTCAGTACATTGTGCTTAAACTTTTTCAAGAGCAGGAAGCCTCATAATGGCTATCAGTGATAACAATGGTGATACCAGAGCCAAATGACAGATATTTTGGAAAAATGTTTTCTATATTAAGAATATTAGGTATTTTTGTCTTAAATATTCAACAACTTGAAGTCATTAAACTTACAGTTAGAAAGGAATGGCTCCTAAAATCAGTGTTCAGACAAGGAAAATTCAGCACAGAAGCCAACTTAGTGATTTTGTCTTCAGTTACTCGTTGACCCAGACTTTTGCTTACACAGATCAAGCAAGTAGTAAATTTTCCATCTATTTCTAGTCAAGGTACATCGTGACTACGTAACAATGCCGTAAGTCCATACAGAGCAGACGATTGTGATCACTGCTTTGACTCTGCTGCCCCTTATGGTAATCATTCCCACCTTGTGTTTGCTGACTAAGCGCTTCCACTTGGCCCTACCGCCCTCAGACCAGTCATCTGCATTATCCTTAGGTGTCTTAATTCCACTAAGGCGTCTGACTTATGTTCAAAGTCACCTACATGCAGCAATCACCAAGACTTTGCACAAATTGTTCTCTCTGTATATATGAAGATACACACACACCTTCATTTCATTTTTTTCATAATTTTTCTTTGCTAAAATATTTTAAGGCAAATCCCAGAAAGCATACCATCTTATCTCTACATCCTTCAGTAAGTGTGTCTAGAAAATATGGGGTTTTTTTCTTACATATAACGCTATCATCACGTGATAAAAACAACCAAACAAACTCTGATTTCTTGGTGATCATAATATCCAGACAAAATAAAATCGCCCTAGAGGTCTTTGTATTTTCAGGGCACCGACAGTGTGTTTGCACAGTAAATGTATTTTCTTTTTTTTTTTTAAATCATTTTATTAGGGGCTCATACAACTCTTATCACAATCCATACACACATCAATTGTGTAAAGCGCATTTGTACATTCATTTCCCTCATCATTCTCAAAACATTTTCTCTCCACTTAAACCCCCGGCATTAGGTCCTCATTTTTCCCCTCCCTCCCCGCTCCCCCCTCCTTCATGAGCCCTTGATAGTTTATAAATTGTTATTTTGTCATATCTTGCCCTGTCCTATATCTCCCTTCACCCACTTTTCTGTTGTCCGTCCCCCAGGGAGGAGGTCACACATAGTTCCTTGTAATCGGTTCCCTCTTTCCAACCCACTCTCCCTCTACCCTCCATGTTTCGCCACTCACACCACTGGTCCTGTAGGGCTCATCCGCCCTGGATTCCCTGTATTTTCAGTTCCTATCTGTACCAGTGTACCTCCTCTGGTCTAGCCAGACTTGCAAGGTCGAATTGGAGTCATGGTAGTGGGAGCGGGGAGGAAACATTTAGGAACTAGAGGAAAGTTGTATTTTTCATCGTTGCTACATCGCACCCTGACTGGCTCATCTCCTCCCCGCAACCCCTCTGCAAGGGGATCTCCAGTGGCCTCCTAATGGGCTTTGGATCTCCACTCCGCACTCCCCCCATCATTCACTATGGTAAGATATTTTGTTCTGATGATGCCTTATACCTGATCCCTTCGACACCTCGTGGTTGCATAGGCTGGTGTGCTTCTTCCATGTGGGCTTTGTTGCTTCTGAGCTTGATGGCCGCTTGATTACCTTCAAGCCTTTAAGACCCCAGATGCTATACTTTTTGATAGCCAGGCACCATCAGCTTTCTTCGCCACATTTGCTTATGCACCCATTTGTCTTCAGTGATCCCTTCGACACCTCGTGATCACACAGGCTGATATGTTGTTCCATGTGGGCTTTGTTGCTTCTGAGCTAGATGGCCGCTTGTTTACCTGCAAGCTCTGGATCCACATGCAGTCTATGCATAATATCTGGGTGTTGTGTATCTTTAGTCTCAATAGGTAGCAAGCTTTCCATTACACTTTTTACCCATGTCACTGACTTAGTGTCAAAACTGGGTCACCTGATTTGTGTGTTTGTTCCTTCGTGATATCATTTAACTTATTTCACTGTATCCTGAATGGGACCCCTTCCCTCTATTATGACTGTAAGTCCGAGAGGATAAACTGTCCGTTGTGCAGCCACACACTCAGCAGAGGGAAGGTAACAGGATGCGGTTTCTAATCGCAGCGGGGAGGACTGACGGGTGCAGTTACTAATTAGCATTCATGTGTGAGTTCGAAGTAAGGTCCATGTTCAGGGTGTTGCATCTGCTGGAACTCACAAATTTTACTCGGGAGAATTAAAGGTGTCATATTAGCAGTCTATGGCAATATTCATTGTACAATCTCCCAGACTGAATCCTCAGGCCTGCTTCAAGTCTCTGACATCTCAACTTAAAAGAGTCATTGTCGGAGTTGCAGGTTCTAGGTTCCCTTCTGTTTCAACTCTTTGCATGATGAGGCTGATTTATCTCAGGTGATAAGCTTGTGTTTTCCTTTCCTTCTTTCTAAAGGATCACCGAAATGAGGGGTATCGAACAGATATGACTTATGACCTCCCCTGCATGGCCTCCTTATGTAACAACTGGTGGGGGCAGGTGTCATCCCATTTAGCAGCGTATGTCCTTTTCATTTTTTTTGTATATCCTTTTTCCAAGGGATCCTGGGGCATAGTGGGCTACACATTAGGCTGCTAATCACAAGGTCAGTGGTTTGAATCCACCAATCGCACTGTGGGAGAAAGATGAAGTTATTTGCTCCTGAAAAGACTTAAAGTCTTGGAAATCCAAAGGGGCATGTGTACTCCCTAGTGGCCCCTATAGGCCCCTATAGGCCCCTATAGGGCCCTATAGGGCCACTGTGGGTCAGAATGGACTTGGTGGCAGTGAGCTCAGTTTTTAAATTGGATCCTTTTCTAAAGGAGCCCTAGTGGTGTTGTAAACATGGGACCGATAACCTCAAAGTTGGCGGTTCAATCCCACTAGCCACTCGGCAGGAGGAAGACATGCCATCTGCTCCTGTAGAGATGGACGATCCCGGACACCTGATGCAGAGTAACTAGGAGTTAGGATCCACTCAATCGCAATGGGTTTGGGGTTGTTGTTGAAAAAGTTAATGAAAGTTTTGTAAGTCACGGGTGCTTTCTGACTGACGGAAGTTTTAGAAAATCTTTGGATAACTAAAGATTTTGGATAAAAACTTTGGTTGTTTTTGGTATAAAAAGCAGCAGCATGTAGTATTTGGGCACACATTTGACCTCTATCAATGTATGAAAGGACTGGACTGTTGAGGGAGTCCCTGAGTCAAACAAATGGCTAACAGACTTGGCTGTGAGCTGACACCAGAGGCACCTCGGAAGGAAGAGCTGATGACCTCGTTCAGAAAACTCCAGGGAGAAACCTGTGGTATAAAGAGTAAGGGGTTGCACAGCCAATTAATATAATCAGTGTCAATAAATTACATACCTGTAAATTGATTGAATTGCATCCCCCCAAAATAGCTTTAAAAACTCACTGCCATCCAGTCAATTCCAAGTTAGAGTGACCCTATAGGAGAGGACAGAATGTCCCGTGTGGGGTTCTGAGACTAAATCTTTACAGGAACAGAAAAACCTCCTTTCTCCAGAGGATGACTGATGGTTTCAAACTGCTGACTTTGAGGTTAGCAGCCTAGCTCATACCCCCCTCAACGTACGTGTTGTAAATTTTAACCTCTATGCCTGTGGCTATAATCCCATCAGGGAATATGTTAATGAGGCAGGATTAGTGTAGTGTATGCCTTTAGTTGATCTGTTGCAAGAGATAATAGAAAAGCAAGCAGATATGGAACAGAGCTGCTAAGATTCATGAAGATGTTGAAAAACCCAGGAAATAGAAGCTACAGAGACAAGGACCATTTCCATATCTGACAGAGGAAAGCTTTCCCCTCAGGCTGAGCTACTGCTTGGGATTCAGACTTTTGGCCTCCTGAGCTGTGGGCAAATACATTTGTACGTTACACCTATGATTCACTTGTGGTACTTTTGTTATAGCAGTATTAGATCACTAGGAATTTGGTACCCAGAGTGGGGTCCTGTGCTAACAGATACTTAAAATGTGGAAGTGGTTTTGGAATTGGTAATGAGTAGGAGCTGGAAGTTTTAAAGCCCCTAGGAGTAAAATTTTGCCTTGATCCCTTGAAGAATTGGCAGAATTATGGACCTGGAAGGCAGTTCTGATGAGGACTGAGAAGTGAGGAGATTTTGTAGAGAAGGTACCTATGATATAAGCATACATACAAGGGTGTTCTAAAAAGTTCCTGGAAAAGTAGAATTCAAAAATGGAAAATTTCCAAATTTTAAAAATTTATGGCATGTCCTACCTTCTGCAAGAGAACGCTTCTAGAAATGTGTGCGTTAAATTGTGCTTCTGGTGAAGCTTTAAGAGAAAAAGATGATAAGGCCCCTAGCACTTGTGGGCTGGGATCCTCTGGGCTGAGGTGGAAGGTGTGTCCCTGAACCTTAAAGAACTATGGCATGTGATGAGGTAGTGGGTAGCTAAAACCAAAAAAACCCCAAACTATCGAGTGGGTTTCAAATCATCGCGACACTCTATGACAGAGTAGAATCGCTCCTTAGGGTTGTGGAGACTGGTAACTCTTTACGGAAGACAAGCGCTCATGTTCCTCCCAGAGTGGCTGGGGGGCTTGAACTACCATCACAAGGCTCCTGGCAGGGGGCTAGGCAGACAGCAGTCCACTCGCGTAGTGTGAGGAGTCCGTGTTCCGGCCTCTCCGAGCTGCTCTCATCACGTGCAGGGGAGAGACCGTCCGAGACCATCCCTCTTACGACAAAGCATTGGGAAAACAAGTGGATCGGATACAGAAGACAGCGTTGGAAGCTTGCGCATCAAAGTCAAGAGGCAAGTACCCTATTGTGGTTAGTTACATAATTTTGCATCCATTTGAAGGTATGAAAGTGTAGGGGTGGAGTCTAGCCTGTCAATCAGGCCACAGCCTGATAGTGCCTCTTTGTGGGCGTGGCCTTCTCATAAGGAGCGTCCTGGGGACCTCCCCCGCCCCCTTTGCTTTCACCTGCCTGTTGACGAGTCACACTGAGACCTGAGAGACCTATGACACGTCCACCACCATTGGATCCACCGGCCTGTGGTCTCCCTGCATTCGATCCTCACTGCATGTGGCTGCGTGAGTCTGAAGAGGGACTTATGGACTAGTATCGGACTTAATGGACTTGAGTTGGACTGGGCTGGGATGTTTTCTGATATATAACGACCTCTTGATATAAAGCTCTTTCTTACACATAGATGAGTGTCACTGGATTTGTTTCTCTAGCCTACCTGGCCTAGCGCCTATTCAACCATAGCTAGCATCCTTGCTGCTCCTCTGCAGGTCAGACCCAAGCACCTG